TGCAGCTCTGCAGCGCCACACAGCTGCAGCTCTACAGCGCTGCAGCTGTGTGGCGCTATAGAGCTGCAGCTCTGCAGCGCCACACAGCTGCAGCTCTACAGCGCTGCAGCTGTGTGGCGCTGCAGCTCTACAATACTGTAGGCGCTGTTTCTCCTGCTGACCACTCATTGTTGTTCCAGCACTGTGACAGCTGTGATAAATGCCCCTGTGAGGAAGGAGACAAGTCTGAACACTGCGATGACTGCAAGGTGAGAAGCTGTGTGACATTTAACCTCAGTTCTTTCTAAAGCTCCTTAAGACACTCTGATCATTGTGAAATCATTCTTACATTTAAAAGAAAAAAAACTCTTATTTTTTAATTAACATTAGAACAACTTATTCATGTTTAGTCTTTCATACAACTTAAGGATTAATTAAACATACGCTGACAATAAAAGCACAAATAATCCTAAATTAAATAGATATCATCATATATCATCATAAAGTGATTCGATAACCCAGATAGATGCAGAGAGGCATGAAAGACAGCAGAGATGGAACGGATGGCTGCTCCACCCAACTGATCATTTTCTTCCACAGTTAGAAACAAACGTTCAGGCGCTTTGAAACGTCACTGATCAACTCTTAAACAAAGAGAGAAGCAGTGGCAGCCTTTCACTCACCTGACTCTTGTTTTCCTCCACAGATGTGCTCTTTCTGCAATGTGTGTCCTCTCTGTGAAACAGCTTGCAAGCCTGGTGAGCATCACATTAAAGGGTTAAACATCATCACCTGTATGCAGTAATATGAAGGAAGAACATCTGAATGTTCAAAAACCATAGTTTGGACATTGGAGATGACTCCTCACAGGTTCGCAGAAATACAATGCCTAGAGAGACAGAGATAAAGGTTCTCAGCTGCTGTTAGTCAGCATCCAGCATATGCTTTGTGGTTGGGCCCCACTGGGTCCCACCAGGGGCCCGCTAACCCGGCTCCAGACCCCGTCATTTCAGGCAAAGTCTTCTTTTTTGGCCATAATGGAGGCCTTAGTCTGAACTGTCAACCAGAGCTCTGGGAGGCATTTCAGCCCCTGGCAACACTGAGGTCAGACCACAGGGAAAAGGACCAGATCCTTTCATATTTATAACTGCATTACCCGATAATGATCTGCTGCCCACTGAGCAAAAGGTATTTGAAAAGACGACATCATTTATGTCCAAGCGACGTGAAAAGACGTTTACTGTCAGGATTATGATGGAAAAATCAACGTCTATGACGTGTTTGGAAAAGTGAAACCATCTTCTGGATGAGAAGAACTTCGTTAAGGTTGAAGGTTACTAGAAGGTGGTGATAGAGGACAGGGTTGTAAGGAAATACTGTAGTGGAGCGGAGTAATGGCTGGGAACGGACAGGGAGGAATGTTCAGCTTCCTGGTCGGAACGTTCGGCTCTCACAGTTTAAGGGACAATGATGGTGGCTGTGGAACGGCAGGTTGCAGCAGACTGTTTATGGACCATTCTCAGGAGACATTCTTTGTTTTGGTTGTTTTATTTCATCTGTTTGTTTGTTTTTTTCTGGAAAGGAACCAACATCAGATAATTGATAAAAAAAGAGTGTAGAATTACTAAGAAAAAGGATAAACCAGAGAGTAGGTCTTGTTTTAAGGACACTTTCACTAATTATCACCAGTGGTTTAGTAAATATCTGGGTCTGTTTGGATGATAGCAAACTAATGATCAAAGCTGAACATTAATTCGACTGAACATGGCCTTTATGCAGAGCGCCTGCCGCTGTAGGAGTTCGACTTTAATAGATCAGCATAAAGAAAGCAGCTTCTGTTTCTCATCAGAGCGATGATCCTGGATCTTCATATTTCTCTCCTCTGTTTCCCATTTTTTCTCCAGGAGGGTTTGTTGATGAAGTTACTGGATCAATCTATAAGTAAGTCTCGCTTAGAGAAACTTCTCCCTTTCTATCATTTCTAGGTTCTATCTAAAAGTGAATTTGGTGGAACGATTATCTGGTTTCATGTTTTCACACAAAACATCTGATTTTTATTGTTTTATTTTCACTTATTTCAAATTGGAAAATAATCTTTAGGGGAAAAAAACACATAAAGCAACCTGAGAATGAAAAGATTTGCTTTTTTCCCCTTTATTGTAGAAAGATCCATGTTGTGTTTTATAATGGTGTAAAGCTATAAACTGTCCTCTCTGCCCTGCAGGACTGTAGCAGATGTCTTTGATGATGGTGATGACAACTGAATCCAGCCATATGCTGCCACCATGTGGCCAAGTTTATACATTTCACCTTCATATTGGATTCCTTTCATTCTCTTCACATTTGATTAATAATAAACTGAAGGAGAAACAATAATATATGTGCTTATTGCTGTTACCTGACAAATCGACTGTCTTAACTTATCCTTAAAATTTCTACTGAGTCATGCTCAATAAAGAGGGGGAAGTGTTTCAGTGATGAGTGATTTAAACTGCTGAGTGGTGAGAAAATGGGTCCTGCTTTATGAATTTATAAAAACCTTCAAACACAGCCACACACATTAATGGATGTTATATGATGGACCAACACAAAGATGGACATCATTATGAAGAACATGGTGACAAACCAGACCGAGGTTGGTGTCAGAAATGGGATCTCTGTGAAGCAAACCGTCTATGGCCGCCTGCGTGGAGCAGGAGGACGCGCTGGTGGAAGGAGAGGGAGAGCTGTGACCATGAGGTCACTATGAGTCATCATGGCCGGGGGAATTTCCCTTCAGGTGACTGGGCAGCACGCCTGACCTTCACCCGGGTCAGGGGTCAAACCCTGCCAGGCCCTCGGTTGCATACTTTGCCACACTTCCAAAACTTTGTACCAATAAAAACTGAACTGTCCCCCTGAATCTGGATATGCAGTTTTTCTATTTGTCTCTGTCAACTTTTACAAACTGCAATATTTTTCCCATTTTTCCTTAAAAAAGAGCTGAAGTTTAGTTTTAGTTTAGATGGAGAACGTCTGTAGGTCTGTAGATATCAGGGTCTGATTCAGTTCAGTTCAGTTGATTTATATAACTGTAATTCCAAACCAGTCATCTGTAGGTAAAAATGTCCTTTTATCAGATCATCCAATCAGATCAAAGTTTTCTATCTGGGAAAGAAGCGGTTAATCAGACGTCCCAGTAGAAGCTGAGCCCAGAGCTACAGTCAGAGAAACAGGACTACACTGGAAAACAGGCC